GGGCTGTCGTCGGTCAGGGGTTTCGCCTTCATTAGGAAGTCACGAAGGGAGCCGCTGTTGAGATAGCGCAAAATCTGCGTTTCGGTGTCTTTATTGTATTTGGAACAATTACCTCCTCTTAACAAGAGAAGTTTCTGTGCCGTGTGACGGGGTTACGCAGAACTGCCTCGCTTGGCGCGAATGGGTAGCGCTTACGTTGGGCCGGTTCCTCAAATGCATGAGTTAACTAACCGCGTGTAATACGAAACAGTTGAGATATCATCTCTGAAAATGAAATATCCTGTGATAAATGAAAAACTCCTGCTGTATTTAGCATATGATAATTATATCTTATTTTTCATTAAAACATTTACCTATATATATATATATAAAAAGTCCGCAGCCCTGATTAGGCAGTTTGTCAGTATGGTGTCTTTTAAGGCTGAAGATGGGCAGTGCAAATGGCCTGCTTTCTGTAGGTCAAGTTTATGTTGGAAAACGTGCAGGAATAGGAACTACATTTTTGCAGGTGGGGTCCTTAGGCTCAAGCATGAATGCTGTTAGCTGTTACGCTTGGAATCGTTAGCCAGAAGGTAGATTCTGTACGCAGCATCCTTTATGAAGGGAAGTTGAGACAGATGTTTTTGACTTCCCATGCACTTGGTGTCTTGAGCATGTGCTTAGGGCACAGAGGACCTAAGAAAAACTATTTCAGCTTCGCACATTGTTTTGGTTGGAGAGAAATTGACATTGCTCTAGCTACCCGTTTAGTCTTTTCAAGCTCCTTTTGAGGGAAAGATGGCTGCTGCACCCCAGAAAAGCCAGTAAGTTCAGTGCACTGTGTGGTTATGTATTTCTATACACACCACTGTAAAAACATTGAAGTTGCAAAGTCTAAAGTTAAGATGTCAGCATTAAGGTTATGTGTGAAACCCTTAAGACTATGCATCATGCAAGACAAGGGGGCTATAGGAAATAAAAAAGTGTGTCGAGCTGGTTTGGTAGCCTCTCATGAGCAAGCAGTTTGTCAGTATCTTGTTATTCCATGTGGTTAAAACTTGTTTTTTTTACATTAAAAATGCCATGTTATTCATAACCCACTCTGTTCAGAGTTTTTTTTCCTTTTCTTTTTTGTGGTGCTTGTTACTGTAGCAACTGAAAAATATTAATATGCTTGTTTCTATGCTCCTGTATGGAAAGAGACTGTAATTAACTCAAATTTCAGTTTGCATAACAAGAAGAATTTGAAAGATTAAGTTCAAATGTAGACACTCAGTTTGTGTGGCCAAACTAAGATGCATAGAGACTGACATCTCAGAATACTTAGCTTTACATTGCAGCTCTTGCTTATGAACTGGCGGTCTCACTGAATTCATATTGCAGGTCTGAGTGCTCAGCATTCCAAGTTAGGCACCCAAAAACGAGGATCAAATAGCTGTGGGATTTGTGGTTTGAGTTAGTGGATTCCTGTACTTTTATTGTTGACTGCAGTGCTTCTGAAGGACTTATGTGGCAGTAGAGAGAGACTACAGGTAGAGAAAAAAATACAGGATCCAGGTGGTGAACTACCAAAAGGAAGCTCCTTTGGTCATGAGCGCCATCTGTGACCTGTACACCACTTAGGATTTCCTTCTAGACATATGACGATTTGTGGGCTTCTTTTGAGAACCATTAGTTGAAATGATTTGCCCAGTGTAGCCCCTTTCCCATTCACTGTGCGCTCTTCC